GTTTGATATGCATTAAGCCATAGTTGAAGTATTTTCTATTTGTGGAGGTCATTACAGGTCATTCAAATTCTATTTTATTTTATTTTAGGAATTTCGATCACTAATTAGGCGTGCAGCCAAAAAATTGGAAGATTTGAACCAAAAATGAAGGCAGCCCCCCCCCCCCTACATCAAATGTGCCAACTCCACCATCCCCTTTTAATAGAAAATATTTAATTATTATTTGGTTGCCTACCTGAATATTTGTGGTATCAGTAGCACAGGTGAAGTGGGTATATATCTCCTTTAAATTCCCTTTCTGATCTCGGCATCTGTATACATAGGTAATATAGAACTTGTACATAAACAATATAGAACTTGTACATGAACAATATAGAACTTGAACATTAAAAATATAGAACTTGTACATTAACAATATAGAGCTTGTAGATAAACAATATAGGCCTTTACAAAAACAATATAGAACTTGTACATAAACAATATAGAGGTTGTATATAAACAATATAGAACTTGTACATTAACAATATCGGCCTTGTACTTGGGTACAAAAACAATATATACCTTGTGCCGCTGTACATAAACTTTATAGACATTGTGCAATTGAACATTTACATTTTAGACCTTGTACATGTCTATATGAACATTTTTGACCTTGTACATGTCTATATGAATATTTTAGACCTTGTAAATGTCTATATGAACATTTTTGACCTTGAACAATGAATATGTAAACATGAACAATATAGATTATAGATAGTGTAACAGGTAAACATAAAAAAGCTATCAAAAACTATTTATGTGTACATAAAACCATATAAAACCTGTTCATGTGTATTGTGTACATGGTTAATATAGACCATGTACATGTACTTAAAAAGAGTATAAATTTATTTTACAATTAATACCTGTTGAGGGATTCAAACTTGAGCTGGATAAAAGCTGCCGCATCCTCGTAGGTGTTAGATCCTAAAATAATAACAAATATAATAATTATGATTAAAAAATGATAATGATAATAATGGTAAAGAAAAGAATAACAATAAAATGATAACAGTAATGATACTACTAATAATAATAGCAATTAATGGGATGTAAGAGGTTATTTAAAATATAATATTTAGATCATAATCTTTAATCCCAGAAATATTTTAAACAAAACTGGATGTTTTACATTTCTTTAGATTTTAGTTAAGGATAAATTTTTAGACAAAACTGGATATTTAATATCTATACTATGATGCATATTGGATATCTATACTATGAATAAATATTGGATATCTATACTATGATAAATATTGGATATCTAGACTATGATGAATATTGGATATCTAGACTATGATGAATATTGGATATCTAAACTGTGATGAATATTGAGACTATGATGAATATTGGATATCTAGACTGTGATGAATATTGGATATCTAAACTATAATGCATATTCGATATCTATACTATGATAAATAATGGATATCTATACTATGATAAATATTGGATATCTAGACTATGATGAATATTGGATATCTAGACTATGATAAATATTGGATATCTAGACTATGATGAATATTGGATATCAAGACTACAATGCATATTGGATATTAAGACAATGATATTGAATATCGAGAATTAAATAAATGATGGATATTTAGACTAGAGACTGAGCCCTCCCGTTTCTGAATTTATTTAATGATAGTTAACGCCTACAGTATATAATTTAATTACCAATTAATATATTGGAGTTCGATCTAACACACTTCCTAGTTCAGCCTTTATATGAGATAAGAACGGTTGATGAATAACAATATCCCCCACCCCCTCTAGGTTAAAATCTGGAACCTTATTGGTAAATCGTATCAAAACAACCTACCATGGTCAGGCGGGTCAAAATTGCATAGTAAATTGTAATTGCTTATTTTTAATATCTCATGGTTTGTAGTTGAATAAAAATGTTCAATTCACGGCAACATTTTATCGATAATTTGTAGAAATTCTAAATATTTGAAAACTGGAGATATATGTGTACGTTCATCATATTTGTAATTTGGGTCATCAATATTGTGTCCAGTTAATTCTCATCCTACTACTAGACAGTTTCCATTCAAGCTTAATCATAATATTTACAATATAGTTATATATTGACAAGGTCACTAGCAAAATTAGAATATTTTCTTCATTCATGGTTATTTGAATGGAAAATATGGAAATGTGAAATCCTATATTATAAAACTGTGATGTATGTATGTCACCCTTTCGTGCGTCTTATTTAGCCAAAGAAGATATTTTTACTTCTAGCATTTTATAATCAATCTAGTTGTGCCCCCCCCCCCCCGTTCACAATGTAAACCCTTAAATAAACATTAATCTTCAAAAAACAAACAAATTGTAACTGGAACAATAATTATTATTTCCATTATTTGTGTGAGAATTATAACAGGTGGACAACACAAATGATATTAAAAGACAAAAAAAGAAACACAAAATTCAAAGGAGATATCAACTTATTAAGAGCGAATAGTAAAAAGAGAGGGTAGTAGGGGAAAATAATAACAGGTTAAACTTAAGCCCCCCGCCCCCAGACAATTTTTTTCAACGACCCTGCTGGGTATTGTTAAGATTTACTAGTCGAAGAATTTCATTTATAAATATTTAATAAATTTTGAAGTGTTACTCATCCTTTCAAGATGTGTTTAAGCCTATTATTTTACTCCAGGAACAAATTTATTAGTCTTCAAGGGAATTGGGTCTCAGATTTTCTAATCTTTGAAACCCAATGTCGTAACCAACTATTAGATCTTTAAAACTTTGTTAGATCAAATAATCTTAATAATTTGAAATATCTGGGGAAAGAATTTAAAGAAAGTCAGAGTTTGTGGCAAAAACTCAATTCATTGGTTCGACGGCATTATCATTGATTAGAAAAAAATACTAAAATACTAAAAAATAATTGGCATTTTAATCTCAGTCAATATTGGCCTGTAGTCATGGAATTAATTATTTTTCCAGCCAAGTCACGGATTTATTTCAATCTTTGAGCCTTTCGTTCAACAATTATCAGTCCAAGTTTTTCGTCTTATAAAAATATTGCAAATTTTTCGTTAAAAAACTCTCATGTTTCAAGCGTTTCTTCAAATAATGTTAAAAGCTTTTGTTTAACAATAACAAGATTAAATCAAGAGAATTTCATTTAAAAATAAATTTTTAACAAAGAAGAACTTGTTTTCAACATAGGCTTACTTTTTAAAACTGAAATACTATGATTATATATGCAGGAAGTAGTACTTAACTACCCTTAGGTTTAAATTTGCAATTTTGACTGAGCTCTGCATGCAAATATGGACGATCAAATGCTCACAGGGTCGGGTGCAATATTTCCAGCTGAAAGAATTTAGTTTGACGAAGATACAATTATTAACAAAAGGTGGAATAATAAAATTTTAAATTATTATTTTGATTAATTTTTCCTTCGTCTAATATTGAAGATGAGGGGCGGTGACAAATGGTTGGTTTAGACTGATAATGGTTTAGTGTGGGTTGAGAAACATTAAGTAATAAATAAAGTTGAGATTATTTAAGTTTACCGCTTTTAACTGTTGTACCAATTCTACCATTAAAATTTGCAAAAAAAATCTATTTAAAAACCAGTTATTTTATATTGTTTTTAATAAAAAATTGCGTCATCACTCATCAGTACATGCTTACTTTGTTTTTGAATATTAGCAACCAGTTTGAAATAAGAGACTACTATTTATCATTTTTAACAACCTTCATTCCTTTAATCTACGATGTATAAGAGAGAGTCTATTTTTCATTAACATGAAGTACACATTCTAATAGGGCTAAATTCAAGTACAAAGATACAGGGTACAAATTTATAGGGATACAACGCGACGGTACAACTATACAAGGATTAAATAAACATAGGTACAAGAATGCCAGAGTACAAGGATACATGCTAGGATACAATGATAAGAATACAAGGGTACAAAAGTAAAAGGATACAAAAGTAAAAGGATACAAAAGTACAAGGATACAAAGATACAAGGATACAAGAATAAAAATATTAGGATACAAGGATACTAGGAAACAGGGAAACAAGGCTACAAGGATATGAGGACACAAGGCTTCTAGGGTACAAGGATACATAAATATTAGAAAAAGAAAATGCATTGATACTACTCCCTATCTAGAGTATAATGTTACTAGAATATAAGAATCAAAGATACAGGATACAATGTGAATTGTGTACAAGGGTACGATATTACTTGATGTCTCTAAAGGGATACAAACATTTAAAGAATTAGAATTCAATAATAGTTTATAGTAAGGTAATATACATAAATGGATACTATTCTAGGATGTAGAGTTTAAAAATGGTTCAGCATGGCTAACGATCAATTATAGTATTTGAAATTAACCCGCCAAATATTTTACTGTAAATTTAAGATCCTGTATATTTTAAGATGGCCTTTAAATCCACTCAACTATAAAAAGGAATGATATTTGAAAGTAATAAAACCATTAAAGGCTAACATATTTCGGTATGCAAAATTAACTCAATATTTTTTATTTTACATTACAGTGATGAAAATTAGACTTTGAAGGCAGGATATTTCTTTTAACTTTGACGCAGTCCAGCCCTAGAAATGAAGATTTTAAAGCTGTAAAGTTCTAGTTTTTAAGAAGAATTTGACAAACCTTATTTCAGTTCACCGTAAATGTTAGTTTTAAATAAAGAGATCCATAAAACTGTGGAATAGGAAGACGACTTAACACATAAAATGTGTGTGTGGGGGAGGGGGGGCAGGGGTTGAAAAATAAATAAACCACAAACAATACATATAAACCAGGCAGTGATGTATCCGCTAAATAATCAGCTAAATAGTTGGTAAATCATTTCCTTTCTGGTGCTCGAGATTGAATACTTGAACCTTGGATCCAGGTTCTCCGAGTAATCTACCCTCATCAATATAACCGGGCAGAGCTCAACCAACATATTTAAATTAAACCTAACCATCTTGTAATTAAACTCTCAACTACCAAGGTTTGTTGGAACAGGATAAAAAACCATGAAGTTGATTTATTGAATAAGGAACCCCAACTATGCCTGGTTGTAATTTACTGTTTGAAGAATAAGCAAGAATTTGAATACTTACCTTATGCTATAATTTTCTAGGCCTTATATATTTGCAATCGGGTATTGTATATCTGATCGGAAAAATATCAGGTTCCAAATAATGATGAAGGTATCCAAACCATCACAAAACCGTGTTTTGAGAGAGGTTTGGTATAACACCTATCTAAACTTATCAAGTTTCAATTTATCAAAAAAAAGAGTATCGTTTTTTAGTTCAAAACATGAAACCATTTTCTTTGGTTATGATTATAATAACTAATAAAAAAATTATTAATAAAAAAATTCATGTTCTCATTATTTAATGGAGTAAGTTTTCCAATTGCCCAATTCTATCGGAAGGAAAATAAATTTTTTTAAATGTTTTTTCTTTCTTTCAGAGGATGTTTTATTTCTGACGGGATAGAGCTATTAACAGACCAACAAATCGTCGGAGAGATAAGAGGAACCCTACCAGGCGAATATGAGAAAAGAACATGCTTATCACACGGAGTTTATTCCCACGTATTCGCAATCAACTTCAATACAGATAAACAGACTTGAATAGAATATGGAAAGTTTGAATTTAAAGAACGAAGGGGGGTTAGAGGGGGAGGGTCGTGATAGTTTCTTTTGCAATTCTTGAAAATAAATGGTTCTTAGACAAAAACCTGAACTTGTAATATAAAATGTAAAAAGAATTGTTAGAAATATTTGAAGTTTTGTATGCAAAAAGGACAATTGCATTAAAAAGGTCCTTAACAGTTATTTATTTTCTTAAGCCAACTGTGTGTAAAGATGTTTAATATATCTTTGGTTGCACGGAACGCTGATTACAAGAAAGGTGCACATGGTTAAA